TTTTTTAATATTACGTTTTTATTTTTGATTTCCATTTTTTTATAACAGTTAACATTTTTAAGTAATTTTTAAAATGTTAGTATTTATTTTGTTATCTAAGTTATATATGGAATATTAATTTCGTTTTTAATATAATTTGGAAACAATGACATTTTATAAAAATAATAAACTAATATAATGATGTGTCATTATACGATTGAAGGACTTAAATCCTATGTGGACGTCCTCAATGGCTTATAGCCTCAACTTTTATATAGTATAGATTATCATCCTTTAGATAAAAAGGAAATGATGATATGTTAGATCTATTTGGCAAAAAAGTATGTTAGATCTTTGATATTTGTTTGTGCCCGTAACAAGTTATAGTATATATCTCTCATCTCCAATACATTTATATTTTTATTTTAGATAACCTGATCGTCAGAGAAACTAAATTTCTGGTGGTATATACACACATCCAAGGCACTACACGATTTAAAAAAAGGAAATCAAGTCTCCATGTACTCGATAGATCAAAATTATTAAATCTCTTTACATTTGAGTTGTGGGATAGGGATCCTCAACTTTGGTGGAATTATCAACGAGTTTAATGAAAATATCTAATGGATGTGTTGAGATATTGACATGTAACGTAAAGGTTATGAGATTATAGAGTAAAAGATGCATACGCGTGTCAAGAAAACACTTCAAGAGCAGAATCTCCATTCTTCAAAAAAATGTAATGTGGGAACCATTTTGCCAATTTCGTGGTAGTAACATCAGTTTCTTTACTGCTGTAGATGATCAATGAAAAAGCACAAAAATGATTTGGTCAAAGAATCAATTCAAAAACATAAATATCTGAGAATAGTACAAACATCAATATATAACTCTTTTAACGTGTCCAATAAATAATATGGGCAACCTTGTCGAGTATATCTTACAAATAATTGAAGTAGAGATTCTTATAAAATGAATGATGAGCAAGCTATTTTTTTGTGCACAACCAGAAGTCAGTTCATTAAACCGGGACCGGTAAAAATCTTAAGGACTTGTTTAGCTAATCCATCTTCAAAGTACATAGATTCACGACGACAAAATCTAAAGGAGACAGATTCAAAAGAGAGAGAACTCAATATACAAGGCTGTATGCAGGCCCGTCCCTGCTTTAAGGCAGGTGAAACATTGGCTTTAGGACACTCAAAATAAATACTACAAAATTTGGGCCACATCTTTAAATTACATGCAGCTTAGCTGGTTAAGTATATTAAGCCTCTTTGTTACAGGTTTGACGCAAACGTAAACCATTTTATATTTCTGTTCTTATTACAATTTTAACTGAGGGCCACATTATTTAAAAAGGCTTTAAGCCTCATAAATGTCTGGGACGGCAATGGTTGTATGTTAAAGTAAAATTTACTGTTGATTGCAGTACAAAAAAAGTATTTTAATGTAAATATTAAGGTTTTTGGTACTTTATTTTATCTATTACTAATGCAGTTTAATGATTTTAGTGTTACGGTTTGATTCAGTCTCTAAAATAACTTGTTAACACATAAACGACAATGCTTAAGAAATCATTCTAATGAGTTTATAGAATGGTAAAATAAAATGAAATGAAGAAGCTTTAAGTTTGTTTTTAAGAATAAAAGAGAATTTGATTAGATTTTGAATAGGTTGAAGGCGCTGCTCTAAACTACAGCCTCTAAACTACAGCTTAAGAGCATTTTCAACTATTTCACTTTATATTTTACTGCAAAAGGAACAAACAAATAAAATATTAATCTTTTTATGAAATGTGAAATTTAATAATCAATGCAAAAAAATAGGGATTTACATAAATATGCAGAAGTTAAAGAAGAGAATATACAATGCTACAAAAGAATGATCGGACGATTCACAAGTGCTAAATTGTAACTGTAAAAGTAGTAATTCATTTATAGAGTAAGAGTTTTATTTCTTTTCCATTACTTTATTTTAAAATAAAATATGGAGTGAGGTTGAGAAGATCTATGTTACAATCTCATACACATGATAACAAAATTTATATGATACACATAATACATTTATAAGGTAATCCGAAATACATGGATTTTCTTTTAACACTTTGTTGTCTGTTGGAACAACATTGGGTTTGGGTGATATATGCTTCTCTTTGTAAAAAAAAAAATATTGTTGATTGATAGATACAGTTTATAGGGGAAATACATTTACTATGGATAGAAAAACAAAAGAGGTTAGCATGATAATCAGCTTACACGGGAATCTTAATTTGTATGACTCCTTTTTTTGTTTTGTTTGATTTAGATGTGTTTTTGGAGTTTACAGAATTTATATAGCCAGCCATGTTGTTGTTGACTTGGGTTTGGAATATTGAATTGAACCCAATAAACATGTTAATTTCGGCCCTGAAAAAGCCCAACTAATAATATAAATATCAAATGACAATTGTTTTTTATTTCCTGGTTCTGTTTCAATTCAATTTGATTGATACCCACCACCACAAAACACTTGCTTTGAAACTAAAGTGAAAAAGGCAGCTCAGACAAGAAGACAAATGGAGTTTCTCATCATCATCTTCCTTGTCTCTCTCCCTATCTTCATCTTCTTCATCTTCTCAAGGCAACCTTCCTCACACATCGGTTTCAAATCCTACCCGATCGTCGGAAGCATACCCGGACTGGTGAAAAACCGTCACCGTTTCCTAGATTGGACGGTAGAGACTCTGTCTCGATGCCCGACACAGACAGCTGTTTTCCGGCGACCAGGGAACCAACAGTTCGTCATGACCGCGAATCCAGCAAACGTCGAGTTCATGCTCAAGACCAAGTTCGATTGCTTCCCTAAAGGCGAGCGGTTCATCTCTCTTCTTGAGGATTTTCTTGGCCGTGGAATTTTCAACTCCGACGGAGAGATGTGGTGGAAACAGAGGAAGACGGCGAGCTACGAGTTCAGTACTAGGTCGCTCCGTGACTTCGTTATGACCAACGTCACCGTCGAAATCAACACCAGGTCTGTACTGTATAACTAAGCTAATACCAGAGCCGTACTTGAGATTCGCGGACCTATCTAAAAGAAAATATTTATCTATTTTAATTTAAAACTTAAATAAAAAAATATTTTCTTTAAACATATTTTCTTTGAACAAAAAAAAAATAATAAAAAAATATTTTCTTTAAACAAGATCTTAATTTAAATTACTTCTTATAATAAAAATTCTGAAAATAAAGGTAAAAATGTTATTTTAATATTTAATATACTTTTTCTATAAAATTATAACTTTTACAAACTATTTTTGTCATTTTTTTTTTAATTCTGCATGTAGCATTTTACATTTTACATAAGTTATATTAATTTTATATGACTTTCTCCTATATAGGCTTGTTCCGGTGTTAACCGCGGCGGCGACCGCCGGAGAATCGATAGACCTTCAAGATATATTGGAGCGTTTTGCGTTCGATAACATCTGCAAGTTAGCATTCAACGTCGATGCCGCTTGCCTCGGCGACGACGGAGCAGACGGTGTAGAGTTCATGAGAGCCTTCGAGACGGCGGCGACGATCATCTCGCAACGGTTTCAGTCAGCGGTCTCTTACTCATGGAAGATCAAGAAGAAACTTGACATAGGATCAGAGAAGCTTCTAAGAGAATCAATCGTGACCGTCCATAAATTCGCAGACGATATCGTGCGTCACAGGCTTGATGATCAAGCTAGGTCAAGGAACAACAAGAACGAGGATTTGCTTTCAAGATTCATCAACATAGAGGAGATGAGTTCCCCGGAGCTGCTCCGTGACATTGTCATTAGTTTCATCCTCGCGGGACGAGACACAACATCCTCTGCTTTGAGCTGGTTCTTCTGGTTGCTCTCTAATCATCCAGAGGTGGAAAACAAGATCAGACAAGAGCTGAATTCGATTAGGGCAAGAACAGGGAAGCGTGTCGGAGAAGTTTACGGGTTTGAGGATCTTAAACTGATGAACTATCTGCACGCAGCGATAACGGAGTCTCTTAGGTTATATCCTCCTGTGCCAGTGGACACAATGAGTTGTGTTGAGGATAATGTTTTGCCTGATGGGACATTTGTAGGGAAATCTTGGGGGATAAGTTACAACGCGTACGCGATGGGGAGGATGGAGAGTATTTGGGGGAAGGGTTGTGATAGGTTTGAGCCAGAGAGGTGGATTGATGAAACGAATGGTGGGTTTAGAGGTGAGAATCCTTACAAGTTTCCGGTGTTTCATGCAGGACCAAGGATGTGTTTAGGTAAAGAGATGGGTTATATTCAGATGAAATCGATAGTTGCAGCGGTGCTGGATAGGTTTGTTGTTGAGGTACCAGGCAAGGAGCGTCCTGATATTCTGTTGTCTGTGACACTTAGAATCAAAGGTGGTTTGTTTGTTAGGATACATGAAAGAACCTGAGTTAGCTTGTTGGACAAGTTTGCTTTGATATACACTTTTATAATGTATACAGTATGTTATTTACTCTTTTTCAAAGTCTCCAACAGATATTGGTTACATCCTCATAGAAACTAACAAATGATGTACCTTCAATATGCGTAATACGGACTCGTTTGGGGATATTGAATTCGACTTACTTGCACGAGTGAAAGAATATGTATGTTTTTAGCTAAGATAATGGGTCTGCCTTTGGCTATACACTCATATAGACTACTTGTGGTAGTCAATATCCATGTTGAGGTTTGAGTAGTATTTGGTTAACTGAAACAGAGGACCATGCCACTTGAAGAATCAATGGTAATCATCAGCAGATTACGAAAACAATGTCTTCTTATTTAATCTTCAGATCTCAGACATCATGCCGGCTTTCACATGCATTGCGCCCTTCTCTTCTATGGTACCTGATGTTTGCCGCATCATCAGATCATCATACATGAAAGGACCTGTTGATTGATTGTCCTATGTCGATGTACTCTTGTGTTGTTCTGGCAGTACTATAAGTATGTGTTGGAGACACCATTTGCGCTTAGGGGAAGTCATAATCTAACAAAAGTGACACGGTGGTTCTGTATGTGGCTGCCTACTTCTTTGAATTGATTTTGCGTTTAAGGAGGTACCCATTTTCCTTGTACTGTACAATCATGGTTGATGATATCAAAGCTGTAAACTTCATTGGTATGAGTGGGTTTCATGTTAGTCAACGTTTATGATAAAACAAAAGTGATTCAGAAAGTAGGTTTTGCATCAGGAGTGTTACTTATGTACTGATGTTAGAGATTTTTGTAAATCTGAAACTTGTTTGATAAAGAAAAGTGATTCATAAAGTAGGTTTTGCATCAGGAGTGTTACTTATGTACTGATGTTGAAGATTTTTGTAACTCTGAAACTTGTTTGAGTTATATCTCAGTGGTGTCTTCATCTGAAACTCGGGTTTATAGGAGGCATACACTTGGCAGAGCTGACAATCTTCTGTCTAAGAATGCTGATGCAGAGGAGGTAGAGAAGAACTTAAGCTTCAGGGAAAGTGGTCCAACATCTCGTGTTGCAATTCTTAGAGACCCTGATTATGACCGCAGTTACAAAAGGTAGTTAAAGCATCTGTTAGCCATTACTAGACTAGCAAAGAGAAACATACAGGTTTATGCGTAGTGGTTGATACTTGATAGTCTTTTATGTGTGAATACAGGTACATTAGGAACCTTCCGCTTTATCAGAATTTCAATCTACCACCCTTCAACATGATGCAGTCACCAAACTGCCAAATGGGGCCCATATCCCAAGAACTCATGTCTCTTAACTTTAGACCACCTTCAAGCGTTATCATGAGTGTGCTTATGGTACCACAGTATTATACCAACGCAGCCTTCAACGGATGCGGTGTATATGCAGTGGCCTATGATATATGCTCATTCGTATGAGCAGTTCAGAAATGCCTCTTTTCAGATAAATAACATTTGATTTTTTTTCTGCATTCCTCCACAGCTACTACACTCTCTTTGAGATTGTGGTCATAAAACGAAAACTTGCGTCTCCAAGTAGAAGTACCACGCTCATATTAAGAATCTTTAAATCCACATGCTTAATTTTTTTTTTTACCTATGCATAGCTCTGATAATTCAAGCAAGTGAAGTTGGTTTGGTGCTTAATATATAATTATCTGAAAGCTGATGTAACTTGTTTCTACAGGCATAGTTCTGTTCTGTCAGCAACCCTTCACTACATGCAGAACCGCTAGGCACTGTCGTTAGGGTTTAAGCACTTGTTAATCTTTATCATTGTTTACCAGCTCTTTTAAAAAACTAATATTGTTGTAATGAAATTTTCTGAAATGTAATTTTGAAGCTATAATAGTCTCTATACTAAATAAGGGTAATGGTGTCTAGATTACAATATTGGTTACTCTCTTAAATTATAAATAATCATAGCTATTACTCCATCTGTTTCAATTTATTTGTCGTTTTGTTTTTTGCACATTGATTAAGAAAACATTTAATCTGCATATTTTCTAGAAAAAAAACATAATTACTTATACACTTAACCAGATTTCAATCAATAGAAAATAGAATAGTAGATTAAGTTAATAAATTTTACATTGTAATTATAAAACAACACTTATTTTGAAACGAATATTTTATTCTACAAGGACAACTAAATTGAAAATTTTACTCACACATAAAGAAACAAAAAACAGTAGGTGATACACTTGGTGAACTCAAGCAGTTGTACCAACCAATCACTCTTTAGTTTGATCTTTCCTTCAAAGATTCTCTTTTGAGACCTGGAAGATGAATGTTCACAATGTAATGCTCCCAGTTAATGCTTTTGATATCGAAGTCAAACATATCTCTCTCTTCCATTGACAGCTCCTGAATAAGACTCCTTGTATTGGTATCATCAAACCTAGGATATTGACCAAGAGTCAGTAATCTAATAGCTTTTTGCTGGATAAAAACAACAATTAGTCCAAGTATGTTACTTACCGAGCTTGAAAGAACGTATAAGGCTCATATGTTCTTGCTAGGGACACAAAATAGTCTAGTATCCTTCTTCCCCTGAAGCTCAATGTGGTATGTGACTTTTCTGCTTCTCCACCTTCATTCTTAGTTCCCCTTTCCTGTTTTGCTATTATGTCGAAAACAGAGGAGGTGAAACCATCTAAGGAACTGTGGAACTTCCATCGGGGTAAGTCTATCACTGTCAATGGAAAGTCACACAGATGTTGATAAGCGAGGTCCATAAACTCGCCTGCTCGTA